CGACATCAAAGACTTTTACTTCCTTAAGTTTTGTCTATGAGTGTAGTGTTCATTCTGCTCGTATATATTCTTTCCCTGTACCAGTCGCCAACATCTTGATATACTCAAGACCCCAAACAGAATCTTTGGAACAATACAGCCAATAATACAAACTCTTATGATATATTATGAATCTATGGAGGCTTGGGTCTAAGAATCCATCACAATGTGACCACAAACACACGTTGTTGGTTCTGCAGTTCGAATTCTATCTGAAATATGGCGAGGTAATTATAGGAATAAAGATCACAGTAACTAACATGGCCTCCCTCACGGCGAATTTGTACATGATGATTGTCTCGAGAATCTGTCAGCGGGAGCCCTGATTTATAACTGGTAGCAAATTGAATGCATTACACTCCTAATTGGACATCAAACCTAATGTGGCAGCGCTAGCTCATTAATTATTTTGGCACCATGATTAAAATATTAATTTGGTAGTCCATTGTAGATTGGATAGTGTTTGATTGGTAGATATGTTGCTGGAATGTTATATTGGTTTATATGCTAGTTATAACATTGTAGTGCTCTGATTGGACAGTATTGTATGGTGTTTGATTGGTAGATATATTTCTGGAAGGTTTTATTGGTTTATATGCTAGGTATAACATTGTAGTGATCTGATTGGACAGTATTGTATGGTGTTTGATTGGTAGATATATTTCTGGAAGGTTTTATTGGTTTATATGCTAGGTATAACATTGTATAGTGATCTGATTGGACAGTATTGTATGGTGTTTGATTGGTAGATATATTTATGGAATGTTTTATTGGTTTATATGCTAGTTATAACATTGTAGTGATCTGATTGGACAGTATTGTATGGTGTTTGATTGGTAGATAAATATCTGGAAGGTTTTATTGGTTTATATGCTAGGTATAACATTGTATAGTGATCTGATTGGACAGTATTGTATGGTGTTTGATTGGTAGATATATTTCTGGAATGTTTCATTGGTTTATATGCTAGTTATAACATTGTATAGTGCTCTGATTGGACAGTATTGTATGGTGTTTGATTGGTAGATATGTTTCTGGAATGTTTTATTGGTTTATATGCTAGTTATAACATTGTATAGTGCTCTGATTGGACAGTATTGTATGGTGTTTGATTGGTAGATATGTTGCTGGAATGTTATATTGGTTTATATGCTAGTTATAAATTGTAAAGTGCTCTGATTGGACAGTATTATATGGTGTTTGATTGGTAGATATATTGCTGGAATGTTTTATTGGTTTATATGCTAGTTATAACATTGTATAGTACTCTGATTGGACAGTATTGTATGGTGTTTGATTGGTAGATATATTTCTGGAATGTTTCATTGGTTTATATGCTAGTTATAACATTGTAGTGCTCTGATTGGACAGTATTGTATGGTGTTTGATTGGTAGATATATTTCTGGAATGTTTCATTGGTTTATATAGATGAGCACACAGATATCGAGAATTTCTGTCCTTCTACAGAAGTAAAACGCATACAAAGCCTTACAAGAAACTCTTCGAATAAAGATTCATGTACTTTTTATGATATAACAATATATAAGCAAAGTATACAAGCATAACGGCATGACAAGTTTGCAAAAGCGGAATGAAAACACTAAATATACAAGAGCGAACAAAGTTGTCCAGGTAACTATTGTCTACCATGAGAGCCTGACAATTGGAGTTTAGGAAAACGGAATGTTAAATATACAATAAGGAAACAAAGGTCTACAGGTCAAGATACAATAAGGAAACAAAGGTGTACAGTTAGGGACATAATACCACGAGAGCCTGGCCAAGTTTACCAAACAGAATGATAAAGTTTACAAAAACGGAATGCTGACACTAAATATACAATAACGAAACAAAGGTGTACAGGTAGGGACATAATACCACGAGAGCCTGGCCAAGTTTACCAAACAGAATGATAAAGTTTACAAAAACGGAATGCTGACACTAAATATACAATAACGAAACAAAGGTGTATAGGTAGGGACATAATACCACGAGAGCCTGGCGAAGTTTACCAAACAGAATGATAAAGTTTACAAAAACGGAATGCTGACACTAAATATACAATAACGAAACAAAGGTGTACAGGTAGGGACCTAATACCACGAGAGCCTGGCCAAGTTTACCAAACAGAATGATAAAGTTTACAAAAACGGAATGCTGACACTAAATATACAATAACGAAACAAAGGTGTATAGGTAGGGACATAATACCACGAGAGCCTGGCGAAGTTTACCAAACAGAATGATAAAGTTTACAAAAACGGAATGCTGACACTAAATATACAATAACGAAACAAAGGTGTACAGGTAGGGACATAATACCATAAGAGCCTGGCAAAGTTTACCACACAGAATGATAAAGTTTACAAAAACGGAATGCTGACACTAAATATACAATAACGAAACAAAGGTGTACAGGTAGGGACATAATACCATAAGAGCCTGGCAAAGTTTACCACACAGAATGATAAAGTTTACAAAAACGGAATGCTGACACTAAATATACAATAACGAAACAAAGGTGTACAGGTAGGGACATAATACCATAAGAGCCTGGCAAAGTTTACCAAACAGAATGATAAAGTTTACAAAAACGGAATGCTGACACTAAATATACAATAACGAAACAAAGGTGTACAGGTAGGGACATAATACCACGAGAGCCTGGCGAAGTTTACCAAACAGAATGATAAAGTTTACAAAAACGGAATGCTGACACTAAATATACAATAACGAAACAAAGGTGTACAGGTAGGGACATAATACCACGAGAGCCTGGCGAAGTTTACCAAACAGAATGATAAAGTTTACAAAAACGGAATGCTGACACTAAATATACAATAACGAAACAAAGGTGTACAGGTAGGGACATAATACCACGAGAGCCTGGCGAAGTTTACCAAACAGAATGATAAAGTTTACAAAAACGGAATGCTGACACTAAATATACAATAACGAAACAAAGGTGTACAGGTAGGGACATAATACCATAAGAGCCTGGCAAAGTTTACCAAACAGAATGATAAAGTTTACAAAAACGGAATGCTGACACTAAATATACAATAACGAAACAAAGGTGTACAGGTAGGGACATAATACCACGAGAGCCTGGCGAAGTTTACCAAACAGAATGATAAAGTTTACAAAAACGGAATGCTGACACTAAATATACAATAACGAAACAAAGGTGTACAGGTAGGGACATAATACCACGAGAGCCTGGCGAAGTTTACCAAACAGAATGATAAAGTTTACAAAAACGGAATGCTGACACTAAATATACAATAACGAAACAAAGGTGTACAGGTAGGGACATAATACCATAAGAGCCTGGCAAAGTTTACCAAACAGAATGATAAAGTTTACAAAAACGGAATGCTGACACTAAATATACAATAAGGAAACAAAGGTGTACAGGTAGGGACATAATACCATAAGAGCCTGGCAAAGTTTACCAAACAGAATGATAAAGTTTACAAAAACGGAATGCTGACACTAAATATACAATAACGAAACAAAGGTGTATAGGTAGGGACATAACACCACGAGAGCCTGGCAAAGTTTACCAAACAGAATGATAAAGTTTACAAATACGGAATATTGACACTAAATATACAATAACGAAACAAAGGTGTACAGGTAGGGACATAATACCACGAGAACCTGGCAAAGTTTACCAAACAGAACGGGGATGGCCGTGTAACTGTCAGACGGCGTGAAGTCATGCAAAACTCTGTCACAATGTCCCAGCTGCATCCACTCAACGCCAAAGATTGGCTTTACTCGCTCCTTCAAACTCTTTTTTTCACAAAGGTACCGGGGGAGCTGTCCCCATCTGCCGCTGCACCCGATCTGCATTAAAGAATAAAAAACGCCCAAGAGGGGGGAGGGGGTCCTCTACTACAAAAGCTCTCCCCTCACCCCAGTTCTCCGGACATGGCCCCAGAAATATCCTGTTGCTAAGCCTCTTAATTAGGCTTAGGTTCCTATTGTCCGGGAGATAGGCCACCTACAGGTCACGCTCTCAATTAATTACGGTAATTATGACCACCGCTATATGCGACCATCTCACCATATTGCCGCATCATGCTGCAGACAATAGGTGAGAGATCAGGAGAGACTGGTGGCCATGGAAGCACCGAGGTACAGGACATGTTGGCTGATGTGTGCTGTGTGAGGTCGGGTGTTATTTGTTGGAAAATGGAACTTAGTATTCCCTGAAGGAAAGGTAGCGTCACCGACAGCAGCACGCCATCTATGTATCGTTGGGCTGTCATAGTTCTCTCAATATAGGGGAAAGGATAAGGTTACTATTTGAATTACAAATTAGCTACATAAGGTAACAAGACCAAATCCTAATCAATAATTTGTGTCTGACACTTTGGTAACAAATACAAGGTAATAACACTTATACTGAAGTACTGTGCAGGTTCTGTATGCTGATATGTAAATATGAAGAAAAAAAGTCTATTTCTAACCATCGCTGTATATTGAAAATAAAGTATTGCCTCTGTGAGGATATTCCTGCATAAATATTACAGCATAGGCGATGACTCTCCAAACCATAATGCTGCGTTGTGGTGAGATGCGGTGTTCCATAGATGCGGCCAGATTGGACCTGTCACCAAGACAGCGCCAAACCCTTACTTGGTTGCTGTTATTGCTATGACAGAAGCGATATTCATCTGAGAACACTACTCTGTGCCATTCCCTGTATAATCAATGATCGACTGTAAGCTAACTGATAGATGTAAAGAGACAAGGGTCGCCTCTCCCGTCAAAATAGACGTCTAAAACCAGACGCCATCTATTCTATATCATCTATATCATAGATGGCGTCTGGTTTTAGACGTCTATTTTGACGGGAGAGGCGACCCTTGTCTCTTTACATCAATTTCCTCCCGGCAAAATTTCCATCCAACTGATAGAGTTGTGATATATTGTGAGATCCCAGGTCGACAATAATACCACCTACAGAAGTCCCAAGTGGTCACCCTCCCAAGTACTGACCAGGCTTTACATTGCTTAACTTCGGTGATCGATGAAAAACGATGTTACCAATATGGCAAAGTCTAACAGCTTCAAACCAAGCTGTTCGGTGACAAACCATTATATAACAGATATCCATTCGTCTTCCACATTTACACAACATTATCATATTTGATCAAGTAAACCATTTTAACAAGATTTTTCTATTTTTCAAATAAAAACAACTTCTTACTGTACTAACTGCAATGGCAAAAAAAAAAAAATGGGGAAGACTCAACGATAAAAGAATATTTAATGAATAAAGGAAGAACTTTGAAAGCCAATCACAAAAAGGAAAAAAAAAACAAAAAAAAAACATTATATATACACATAATATCATAAATTTAAAAACATAAGCGCAGAAAAATTCAAAATATAATATCGACAAACATGGAAAAAAACTTGAAAGCAATTACAAAAAGCGCTATGTAACATTTTACCTTTTTCTTTGATGAGTAAATGTTTTAGAATGAGAGAAACAAAGGTATAAATGAAATACGAGAATCAATTATACATAATGCCTGGCTTACTTCTTCAAACACCGGGTAATCAGACATTGGGAGTGTGAAAAAAGAATCCTCGATTCAATTAAAGCAGTGATCACGTCTTGAGGGGAACCTCCGGGGAAATTGACGGGGAATACTTAATCACTTTGCAAGAATTCTGTAATCAACTTAGAGCCACGTGTGTGTAGACATGTAGCGGCAGGCTGTGATAATCATGGTGTGACAGCTTATATTGTAGGTACATGTCTACTCATCTGCTGTTTTAATATAATGTCAGGGTATGATAATCATGGTGTGACAGCTTATATTGTAGGTACATGTCTACTCAACTGCTGTTTTAATATAATGTCAGGGTATGATAATCATGGTGTGACAGCTTATATTGTAGGTGCATGTCTACTCATCTGCTGTTTTAATATAATGTCAGGGTATGATAATCATGGTGTGACAGCTTATATTGTAGGTACATGTCTACTCATCTGCTGTTTTAATATAGTGCCAGGGTATGATAATCATGGTGTGACAGCTTATATCGTAGGTACATGTCTACTCATCTGCTGTTTTAATATAAGGTCAGGGTATGATAATCATGGTGTGACAGCTTATATCGTAGAGATACATGTCTACTCATGTGCTGTTTTAATATAGTGCCAGGGTATGATAATCATGGTGTGACAGCTTATATTGTAGGTACATGTCTACTCATGTGCTGTTTTAATATAGTGTCAGGGTATGATAATCATGGTGTGAAATCTTATATTGTAGGTACATGTCTACTCATCTGCTGTTTTAATATAGTGTCAGGGTATGATAATCATGGTGTGACAGCTTATATTGTAGGTACATGTCTACTCATCTGCTGTTTTAATATAATGTCAGGGTATGATAATCATGGTGTGACAGCTTATATTGTAGGTACATGTCTACTCATCTGCTGTTTTAATATAATATCAGGGTATGATAATCATGGTGTGACATCTTATATTGTAGGTACATGTCTACTCATCTGCTGTTTTAATATAGTGTCAGGGTATGATAATCATGGTGTGACAGCTTATATTGTAGGTACATGTCTACTCATGTGCTGTTTTAATATAATGTCAGGGTATGATAATCATGGTGTGACATCTTATATTGTAGGTACATGTCTACTCATCTGCTGTTTTAATATAGTGTCAGGGTATGATAATCATGGTGTGACAGCTTATATTGTAGGTACATGTCTACTCATGTGCTGTTTTAATATAATGTCAGGGTATGATAATCATGGTGTGACATCTTATATTGTAGGTACATGTCTACTCATCTGCTGTTTTAATATAGTGTCAGGGTATGATAATCATGGTGTGACATCTTATATTGTAGGTACATGTCTACTCATCTGCTGTTTTAATATAGTGCCAGGGTATGATAATCATGGTGTGACAGCTTATATTGTAGGTACATGTCTACTCATCTGCTGTTTTAATATAATGTCAGGGTATGATAATCATGGTGTGACAGCTTATATTGTAGGTACATATCTACTCATCTGCTGTTTTAATATAGTGTCAGGGTATGATAATCATGGTGTGACATCTTATATTGTAGGTACATGTCTACTCATCTGCTGTTTTAATATAGTGTCAGGGTATGATAATCATGGTGTGACAGCTTATATTGTAGGTACATGTCTACTCATGTGCTGTTTTAATATAATGTCAGGGTATGATAATCATGGTGTGACATCTTATATTGTAGGTACATGTCTACTCATCTGCTGTTTTAATATAGTGTCAGGGTATGATAATCATGGTGTGACATCTTATATTGTAGGTACATGTCTACTCATCTGCTGTTTTAATATAGTGCCAGGGTATGATAATCATGGTGTGACAGCTTATATTGTAGGTACATGTCTACTCATCTGCTGTTTTAATATAATGTCAGGGTATGATAATCATGGTGTGACAGATTATATTGTAGGTACATGGCTACTCATGTGCTGTTTTAATATTGTAGCGTAGAATTCAAGCCTTGAAATATCCTAAGATGTAAAAGTATTTATTGATGACGTCACAGCGACGAGTCGACAATTATTAACAAGTCAGCCCCACTATATACAGCTAGCGAATCTTAAGCAAGTAAGCAAAGAAATATTTTAAGATGATTTCACTAAAACAGATTAATATATATTTTTATAATCTGTTGAATATATTTTCATTGAATAATATTAAATTAAATAATAAAATATTTCTTCGCCACATAGCCTCCTCCTATAAAGAGCATCGACCCGATGCTCAGAAGGAGACTTACATCCTCAGTCTCAAGGCTCGAGAACGGGTGATAGGGCCTGAGATCTCTTCGCGGGTCTGTGGTTGTTGTGTTCGTTCAGTGGGGATGTCTTCTTCCTGGAAGTTTGTCGAGTCATCTTCTGGGTCCTCTTCTAGCTGGTCCTCCTGGTCCTCTGGGTTTAAATAAGGTTTCATCCTACCAATGTGAACTAAATCTTTTGTTTTACGACGACCTTGCTGGTTTCCGAATGTTTCAACTTCATAGGTTACATCAGATATTTTTTGGGTTACTTTGTATGGGCCGAAGTAACGTCTCATTAGTTTTTCCGAATATCCCACTTTACGCACAGGAATAAAGATCCATACAAGATCTCCAGGCTGATAAATTATATTTCTGTGATGGGCGTCATAGCGATGTTTATTGCTACCTTGAGATCTCATGGAGTGGATACGTGCCAGTTTTCGTGCTTCTTCGGCTCTTGCCCCTAGAGTTTGGATGAAATCGTCGTCTTCTGGCAATAACTTGGGGAATAACACGTCCAGTGGAGTCTCGGCTTCACGCCCGTGTACAAGGAAAAATGGGGTGAACCCAGTAGACTCTTGTTTTGCTGTGTTGTATGCAAATGTAACGAATGGAAGAATCCTGTCCCAATCTTTATGGTTGACATCTACATACATGGACAGCATGTCTGCTATGGTCTTATTCAACCTCTCCGTGAGTCCGTTTGTCTGAGGGTGATAGGCGGTCGTCTTCCGATGGGTTATTCTGCACTGGTTGTTCAGATCACTTATCATTGAAGATGTGAAGTTCCTTCCTCTATCCGTGATTAATTCCCTCGGCGCGCCGTGCTTTAAGATGACATCTTCAATGAAGAATTTGGCGACTTCCATGGATTCACTTGTGGGTAGAGCTTTAGTTATCGCATATTTTGTTAGGTAGTCTGTACATACAATAATCCAACGGTTGCCACCTTCTGATGTTGGAAATCTCCCCAGGAGATCCATTCCTACCTTTTCAAAGGCAACTTCAGGAACAGGTATTGGCTGTAAGTGCCCTGAGGGGAGTTGGGGCTGATGTTTACGCCTCTGACAATCTGAACAGTGTGCCACATACCTTCTAACTGTTCTATACATTCCGGGCCAGTAATACTTTTTTCTTATTCGGTCATAGGTTTTAGTAAATCCGAGGTGACCAGCCGTGGGTGAATCATGGAAATTTTTCAGTAATTCCTGCCTTAAATGGCGTGGAACCACCAAAAGCCATGGTTTCCCCATTGGATCATAATTTTTTCTGTAGAGCGTGTTATCGATTTTTACAAAGGAATTATTAGGAGAACTTTGTAATTTGTCAGCGATTTTTCTAATAGCTTGATCATTCATCTGCTCTTCGCTAAAGTTCTGCAAAGTCACTATGCTTGGAATATCTTCCTCCATATCTTCACTGTATTCTAATGGACTTCTTGATAAGCAGTCTGCGTCCTGATGTTTCCTTCCGCTCTTATACACGACAGTGACGTCAAACTCTTGCAGCCGAAGTGCCCATCTTGCTAACCTCCCACATGGGTCTTTGAGGTTGGTCAGCCAGCACAAAGAGTGGTGGTCTGTAACAATAGTGAACGGCTGTCCAAAGACATATGGTCGGAATTTATTGATAGCCCAAATGATGGCAAGGCATTCCCTTTCTGTGGTTGAATAATTTTTTTCTGCCTTATTTAAGGTTCTGGATGCATAAGCAATGGCTCTTTCCTTTCCCTTTTGTATCTGCACTAATACTGCTCCTATTCCGTAGTTGCTTGCGTCAGTGTGTATTTCGGTTGGGGATGAGTAATCAAAATGTCCAAGAGCGGGTTCGGAAATTAACGCTGACTTGAGAGCTTCAAATGCATTTTGCTCTTCCTGGTTCCAATTAAATGCTGAGTCTTTATTCAAAAGGTCATTCAAGGGTTGGGCTACGTGGGCATAATTGGGTATGAAGCGGCGGTAGTAGGATGAAAGGCCAAGAAAACTTCTAACTTCCTTCAATGACCTTGGCGTAGCGAAGTCGCGGACTGCTCGAATCTTTTCTTGGTCGGGACGAATTCCATTTTCACTCACCTCATGTCCAAGAACCGTGATAGTTTTTGCACCAAACTTGCATTTCTTGGAATTGAGACATAATCCGGCTTTCTTAAGGCAATTTAATACAAGTTGAAGGCGTCTTAGGTGTTCTTCAAAGCCATCTGAAAAAACGATGATGTCATCGAGGTAACACAAGCAAATGGTCCACTT